CTTAAAATATGTGTTGATTTGTATTGATATCGAATCAAAAAATCAATTCACCAAGACAGTAACTTTTTCTGTAGACAAATTTTAAGTTGAATATTTTATCAAATTTTTGAAACAGCGACGTATTTTGAGTTGCATGTTTTAAAGCTGAATATGAATTCAGTCTGGGTTATCTGTGAAGCTTTGTTGATGACTAAGATCAGCTGTTTCTTTAGTAATGACCGTTTATCAAAAGCCCAGTGATCAGGGACAGCTGGGTCCAATTTCGAACCATTAAAGAGTTACTAACTTTTCTCAGGATCGAACTGGTGACCTGCTGATGGCTAGGCGAGCACTATAACCACTCAGCTAACTAGCTATTTGTGTTAGTAATATGAATGTAGAATGGCCAGTAGTGTTGTTACTGACATAGATAAATAATGTTCTCATTCCCAAAAGTATTTTTATTTAAAAGAAAATATTTGTCATATAATTCAAACATTTTCCTCCAGTATCTCCCGAGGCTCGTCCATTCAGACTCTACCGCATCTCCCTGACTGCGATGAGTGGACTGATAGCACCGTGCGACCGTCGTTGTCCCACGCCCACTCCAGGCCCAGACCCGCCGGAGTCATCCGGAACATCGGATCCGGAGCGTCCTAAGTCCGGAGCATTCCTCACTGCGGAGCCGTCCCGTGGTCTCAGTCGAAGCTGTTCGTCTTCCCCGACTCCTCAACCCAACTGACTCCAACTTCCCACTCTCGACCACATGTCTTTCTCTACTTCCCTTCTTTGTACAGCGGAAATTATCAAACTGTGGTTGTGTTGTACGTACAAATATTCTACTCTATGTCTTTACAGGGTGTAGAGCAACGTGTAAATAGACGCTGAATTACTTGTATAGTCTAACATTGTGAGTTATTATTTGTGTTACTGTGCTATTTTGTAAAATCCATCGACCAATACACAAATGAGTGCTAAGGTTTGTGTATACCACTGTATGCTATTTATTGTTTAGCAAAAATTTAATGAGGATTCATTTATTTTATAAAAAATGTAAATGGTGAACGATTACCAACCAGGTTAAGGAATATATTTGTTTAGTGTATTTTTATGAGAGCTTACAGTGATCATTTTTAACACATCCACTTTTTAAAATGTCTTCAAGGTTTGTTCAAAAATTTTAGAGTATTGTTTGATTTATCAAAAGATATATCTGGTGTAATTTAACTGTAACTTTTGTTTGAACTGAATTGACCTTCTTACATTAAATCTAAAATTTTTGAATGTTAAATACATTGATTTTGAAAAACCAAGATAACAACTTAATCAAAAGCATAAGTTTGGGATGCTTTTGATGTTCTAATCAAATGTTAGTTATCATATCATAAGCTATTTCTAACTTTGTAAAAAATTATGTAATGAACGCAGGATTATTGTTAGTTAAGTTACTAAAATATACTGTAAACTAAATAATTTAATTTTTCTACACTATAATTTGATTTTGAGTTAGATTTCTTAATTCTTGAATGTGTTTAAAATCTGCTCTTAAAAGCTGTTATCCATGGGAATCAGTTACAGAATTTCTTGTCCAAATATTTTTGATTGAGCACTTCATTAATTTACTTTTTTATCGTAACAAAAACAAACAGAAAATTGACATTGGTCGGTTTTAAAATAACTATTTGTACCAAATTTACCAGGGTCCCCAAAACTTTTGACAAACTGCGCTTTAAGAGTCGGCAGGACAGCCGGCCATCTTGGATTTTCAGCCCATAACTGCGATGTTAATTGTTCAAGCATATTACGGCATGGTTTATTAAGATAAGTTGCAAAATATATCATGTTAAAGCTATTGAAACCATGGATGTGATTTGCTCGCCTATCTATTTTTTAATTTTAATTGTTATTATTTTGTCAAACTACATAAATATATAGACTTAAACTGTGATTTTTCCCACAAAAGTTTTAAAAATCCTAAAAGCAATTCACACGGAACATATATTTAAGAATCACACAAAATTTTCTGCCCAGTAATCAAGCTTACGGTGCATAATTATTATGCTTCAATGTGAATGCATGTTTTTTCTGATCAACAACCATTGTTACGCTACAACCCTGGCATCTGACGGCCAACAACAATGAAAAATTATTGACTCCTGCCGACTCTTAAGTTTTTTTTCTCAAGCATAAGATGTTAATTTTATACAATGTAAAACTGTGTAATATAGATTAATTGTTCAAGACATAAGGCTCTAGCTGTATATTTGTTCTTGAGATGTAGTTGTTATAGTTTAATTAGGTAAATTTTTAACTACTTAAGACTGTAGTATGTTATCAAAATATCTCGAATATTTTTCTAAACTTGACCGTCCAAGGTGCACTCAGCTTTGTGTTTTCCTTTCTCAAAACTCTAGCGTTGGAAATTTGTTGGTTGAAACATTTTTTATAGATTTGAAATCTGAATAAGACAAAAAATGTTGTTTACGGATGTGCCAAATGATGCTAATTGGTAATGTTCATACAAAAGACTTTTTGCTATGTTGCACAATTTTTTTTTTTTACTGAATCATTATTCACATTTTATTCCTCAATTGACTGTGTTTTATGTTTTGTAAATATTTTATTTGTTTTTACTTAGAATTTTCACAAAAAAGAACTACTTCCACACATTTTACAACTTAAAGATTTCAAAAATGGTTCAGAAACAGTATAAACAAACTACAAATTGCGTAGGATTTTTTTCCTTTTTTTAATTAATTCTGAGTAAGGACTCTTCTGGACTCTTCACACTGCACCGAGCGTTCAATATGAGCAAGTCAATGGCCTATCTATGTACATACGGTGTTGTATTGCTTATGTATTTTTATCTATCTGTAAGTGTACATTTTCGTGTCGAATGATTTTCCAATTTCTAATTGAATGTTCAAATATATATTTATTGTTATGTCTTGTTGCTGGTTGGAGCTTTAAGGTTGTCTATTATAAATTTCTAACTCAGTTTCTCAACTGTTAATGTGACTGTATTGTTGTGAATTGAGTGTTAAATTGTGTTTATTTTTAATCTGCACTATTAATTATGCAAGGTCTGCTAGTTGGTGATAAGATGTGGTATTTGAAATATATATTTTCCTATTTAGTTTGCAGCTATGCGTATAAGTTACCAGATAATGTGATACGTATGTTTATTCATTACTGTTTAGAGAGCTAGAGGTTAATATTGTTTTGAAATTTCAATGAATTTAGAAAAAGATAACATACTTAATAATTTCCTTTTGATTTAGTACTTTGATGATATTTTGTTCAGTAATTTAAAACTGTTTGAACGCAGAGAAGTAAGGAATAGAGGAATCTAGCTTATCGGGACAACCGTGAGCTTTCAGCTCTGGTATGTTGTGGCGGAAATGTACTTGTGCGAGCAAGGAAGAATTGAACGGAGAGCACTGTGCGGAAATTCCTTTCGCACATGGCTAAGGGTCTTCCTCCACCCAAAACGTAGTACAAGAGGGCGAGGGGGGGATTTTGCCCTAGACACCAGCACTAGTGCTAGACACCACTTAAGTGTACCATTGAATGGTTCCTCTGTATTTTACTTCTCTGTCGTTTGAAAGGATATAAGATAAGTTCAGTAGTTTAAGATTCTCTGAAAGTATACATTTTATTATTCATGAAGTAAATCTATTAGACAGAGAAAATTATTTATTTGTAAGCAGTTAATTTTACGACTTACCATAGAATGGAAGAGCATTAAAAAACTGAGCTGAAAATTGTATTGGACTAATTATTTTACACCTAGGTCTTTTGATGATTTTCCTCATAACAAATTTTCAACAAACAAAACTTATTTGATATTAGTAACCTTTAAAATACACAGATTTAAGGGGCAATGTGGACAAACATATGACAATATAATTCTGAGGCTTCCATAGTACATTTAACAGTCCTAAATATAGGGTTTCACATGCAATCCTTTCATCGGATGGTTGCTGCTCTCTCCTTTTTGTTCTGAGTATGGTTACGGTTAAACTTGTTTTCTGTTAGCAATTCCTCCATCACTTAGTCTCTCGAATGATCTCACAATTGAAGCATAAACTTGGTTTTGGAAGTCTGCATACCTCATTTTGTTCCTTTTATTTTTATTTTAAGATCCATTTCTATGGCGTTCTTTATTCTCATATGATTTATTTTCATTCTGATTTTATTTCACTGCTTGTGACTTTTCTTCCTATGCTTTTTGCATTTTTTTTTTTTTTTTTTTTTTTTGTCCTAGGACGCTACACTTATGCTTTTTGCATTTGTCCTCTTCTAGCTTTTAGTAGGTTTTCTAATTATCCAGGCTGACTTCTCTATAGAGGGCTCATTCTTTACCTTCAGAACGTAATCAATTCTTCACCTTTAGGCAATTTCCACTTTTCCGGTGCTGCACGTCTCACGTCTTTGCTGTTCAGTGCCCCTCCTCTGGTGCAGCACCACCCTTCACCCCTAGCACAAGCCTCACCGCCCGGTTGGTGCAGGTGTAGGAGGGAAACTGTAGGAAGGTATTGGCTCGAGTACTCATGGAACCAACACCCCGACACCTTCAAGAGGCGGAGGCGGTCTTTTAATACTTTACCCAATACCCAGCCTACAGCGATCCCACACCTACCAACACCGGACGAATGCGACTCATGCTGCTTTGGTTTACTACTCAAAAAGGGGACTTTTGTTAAGAGAAAATTGTTTTTGTGTTATCGTTTGAGAACTTTCAAAATAGTTAATTGTCTCCATGTTTGTAATAAAGTTTAAATTGATTACTTCCATTATAAGGTATGTATTAGTTTAAAAACCGGTTGACCTTTCCTACGCTAAAGAATATTTAAGAGAAAGTCTCTTTGTAAAAAAAATCAGGTCTTATAACTTGACATTGGGTGAGTTTTGTCAAAAATACACATTAAAATTCATAAAAGTGTAAAAAAACTTTATTAGGCTCAAAATCGATATATACCTAATATAGAAAACTTAACAACTACATAAAGGTACAGGTTTAAATTGAGTATAACTGGTTCAGTGAGTAAATTGGCTGTGGTTCTAACACTATCGGTAAATGAATTAAATAGCAACAAATTAATAAGTCATTCAATTTTCTATGATTTTGATCTCAATTGTACATAGTAATCATTCCAAAATACTGTAATGTTTGAACTAATTATTTAAATGAAAAAGTTTGTTACTTCGTATAGGACTTTTAAATTTATGAGCACTCTTTTTACAAACTTTTAAGATTTTACATAACAATGCAGTGCAAAAAAAACATTGTAAAACTAAACTTAATAATAACAGATAACTACTTGGGGAATTAAATTTAACTAGAACAGTAACACTAACAAACTAGCGGTAGTAACAATTATTTTTGTACTTAATGCGATCTTTAGTCAACATTTATAAGGTAAAGTCATTAAAGATATGAAGTAGAAGGAGACGAAATGTGATGTTACTTAGTGAAGTATTAATCTTGGGCATACTTAATTGATACGCATCGTTTCCCATCTTTTCAGACAAATAATGGCTATGAAATATGTAGTCAAATAATCCTTGACAATCAAAACTCGCTACAAATGTTTTAACGGTTATTTTAAAAACTCATCGTCATCATGATAATCATCCCAATTTCTAACAACCGCCAAAATATAGAGAAAGTTTACTACAAGCTTAAATGTCAAGGACTGTCTGAAGAAGTATATTTTAGCCGTTATTTTTCATGACACCAAATTCTGGCTTTATAAAAACATACAATGGTTTTACTTTTTGAAATACTGCACGAAATACACCTACATAACGGGTTTCTTGTCTAGTATACCTTTAATAAATTTCATCACAGAATAAAATGTTTGAAATTTTTTAGGGAAATTTTTACAGTGGTTCCGTAATGGGGAAAGTCTTATGACTGAAAACTCCTATCCTAGAGCTTAACATAAAATAACAATCAACAAAGAAGGTGGACCAAATAGGAACTCGACAAACCTAAATCAACGTCCATTTGTCAAAAACTTACTCGACAAGCTTTCTCAAACTTACAAAACTGCGGTGACCTGTTGCTTGAACTCGGCTGCGTTGAAATCCTTGCGGAAAACTGACTGGAAAGTTTTCCGCAGATGACACTCAGCCTCGAGGGCTTTAGCGTGAGCGTAGCCGAGCTTTATGATGTGTTTAGGCACGCCGGCGAGGCGAGCGGCGTTGAATCCGTACGACTTTGGACACGCTCCCGGGGCGAACTTGTACAGGAACGTTACGTTCTCCTGCATACCTTCAGAGTCTTCGTCCATCTCTGATTCCGCCATACATGCCTGAGGACATAAGTTTGGTAATCGGAAGTGGTTTAAGGAAGAAACAGTTTTAACGTGTGGATTATTGGATATTCGGTTGTCTGACCTTCTTTGTTATCCGGCTCTACCTGCAGACGATTTACTGAAGAAATGTGTCCTATTTTAGAGTGGTTTGACCAGAAACCACAGCAAATACGTAGAGACAACTGGACAGTATGTTCAGTTTTCAAAAGACTTGAATGGGTTTGAAAACCCATTTATGACTTCATGATTATTAACATGTTTAAAATGTTTTTGATATAATTGTCTGTGTTATTTAACTTTTTTGTTTATTTGACCTAGTTGTGGTCAATTAAGATCAGATAATTAAGACTATTAGTCTTACTGTCATTAATAAGGCCAAGAAGTAACTATCACAGGTTAGATCGGATTACTATATGCCATGACTTTGACAATAGAAATGGTGATGTTTCAAATGATCCATTTCAACAAATCTTTTCAAATTTTATCAGTAAATTTAAAGCTAAATATGTAAAACCAATTGTTTACGTACTTGTTCGTTTAAAACACAATTCAAAATTCTTCAATCACAAATTGCAACGTTAAAAGCAATTAGCCATACGTTCTTATTCTACTCACCATATGTCCCAACGCTACGTTCTTGTAGTCTTTGAAGTCTTCCACGAGTGAGTGGTAGTGAGTTGAGAATAGTGTTCTACACTGCATGTCAGTAAGCTCCCGTAACACAGCGTTGGCAATGGCTGTTCCGTCGTATGTAGAGGTGCCTCGGCCTGTCCAACATACATGGAAACTACTACAGAAAAGAATTTTGACAATACAGAAGCAATCAGAAAATACAGAGCTATTTTAAAAATAAACAAAAGAACACTGAAACATTTAAGAATCCTTTTTTTCGTGGCTTGTTCTTGGATGTATAATTTTTGGTAAAAAAATGTTTAATCCTTCCAGATAATGAAAATAAAACAATAATCACTACAATACACGCAACAAAAATAGCATTTTAATTGTAAATCATCAATTAGAGCTCTTAAAAAAAGACAATGCAGGATACGACTTATTGAAATAGACTCCTTTAAAAGTTTAAATGTAAGAGAACCGAAAATAAAAATAATAGAGAAATATTATAGTACACAAAAAAGTTCCATCTGTAAAAGAAGAGATCTCATTTGAAGAGATTAAATTATGTGTAGGCTACTGAAAAATATTTGTATGTGTACTATAGTCCTCGGCACCCTAAGTTGAGGCAGCCAAAGGCCGCACGGTGTATATCTAGTGCAGCCTTTGGCTGCCTCAACTTAGGGTGGCGAGGACTATACCTACATGAAGAATTTCCCTGGTGAGAATTAAGTCCATTATTAAAGGTAAGATAATATGAGGCAACACTGCATAGTTGGCAACCACGACAGCAGCCATTTCGTAAACTCAACCACTTTCTCTACTCTTGACAGAGTCTTGAGGACGAAATATTGTGTGCACAGTCTCTCTTCTGTATGTTTTATTTGGCCTACCTACACTTTTTCAAGGTAGCTGCTATCCTTTTTTCTACAATTCAATTCCTCCCAAACAATTGGACTTAAATTTCAGGGAGTGTAAAATGAAGAACCAATGATGTCACTTACCCAACTCATCAATAAGCACGAGTGAGTGTTTCGTAGCATGTGCCAGGATAGCCGATGTCTCGCACAGCTCCAAGTAGAAGGTACTCTCCCCTGCCATGATGTCATCATTGGCACCGAGTCTTGTGAAGATACGATCCACTGGACTCAGCTTCAAACTCTCAGCTGGTACTCGGCAACCCTGAGAGGACAGATTCCTGTTATATTTGCTATGTTTTTGGAGCTTTTTTAGTTGCTTGTCTTTATTGTAGAGTTTTAAATGTCTTTAAGTTTTTTACGTTGTGTTTGAAGCATAATAGTAAACTGAAAAAATATTATAAGCCACAGCTTATGTAAATTTAGGGAGGACTGAAAGGTCAGTTCAAATAGGTTTTGGACGGTATTTTTATTCCAGTAATATAATTTGATAAATGGCGCATTAGTTGTGTGATGAAACCGGTTTACACTGGCAGATGCTTCAATGAAATTCCATCCCAAAAAAAACCCGAAAAAAAATCTTCAAGAATAGAATTTAAAATTGTGGTTGTGATGAATTTAATCAATATCACTTTTCTAATTCTAAACAAAGCAATGGTAGTTGACATTCCTACACCAGCAGCTATAAAAGAACATTTACAAAAAGAATTAAAAAACAACTCACAAAAGTCGAGGAAGTCCTAAATTAGAACAAAATATCAGAGTTACGTTTGTTACCTTTTATTTTTCCATACATTTGCTATTGGACTCTATTTTACTGAGGATATCTAATTGAACTTTAACAGTATTCAAAATAATTCCTATCTTTTCTATCTACAGTGGAGTCCCAATAATCTGAACTTCGGTAATCCGAAAGTCCGCTTAATCCGAAACCAAAAAATATATTTTTTATATTTTTTTTATAAAAACAAATTAAAATTTTCAAATTATTTTGAAAATTTATTGAAATTTTTTTTTAAACTAAACTTTTAAACACAGTTAGCTGTACCTCGTCAAAGTATTCTGTAGCGGCCGGGCGAGATAGACTTTTTTTGTAGAGTATTTTAGTAAATATTTCACCATTTTTGTTATTAACATTTTTCATTTTCGTCCCGGGTTCCAATCCCGCCAAATCACAAATGGATTTTATTAAGTGATAATGCTGCAGCCACTAGGTCTAGCCTTAAGTTATGTGAAAAACAATCCCGGGCTCGTGCCTGCGTCCTAAGACAAAAAAAAAATTTCAAAAAATAAAAAAATTTTAATTTTAAATAAAGAATTTAAATTTTAATCCAAGATGGCCACTAGCTTCCAACGACTCTTAACAATGTAGACTCAGTCCGACTCTCACCAACTGTGCCATGATGACAATCAGCCCCAGCTGCCTCATCAGTGTGGACTTGCCTCCCATGTTGGGTCCCGTCACCAGCAACAGACTGGGACTGAGGGTGTCCTTGTCTCCTATCACAGTGTCGTTGGGGATGAAGACTTCCTCGGCCGTTGTGCACGGGTAGCTGCCGTTCCTTAGTGTCACAAACGGCTGTAAACACAAGTACAAGTGATTATCAATGAAGTTTAACGAGTTGTTGACCTATTTTTTTCCAAGACAGAAATATCTGTGTGAGAATCTTGATCATCCAGTGTGATTGAAGGGGGAGAGAACACAATTATCCCACCACGGTAAAATAAATATGGTTTGAACACTTTTCCTCAGTTGTAGCAGATTTCTCTATAGGGAAGTAGCTATTACCATAGGTGGCATAGTAAGACCTAGGCCCGGGACCGATTTACTTTTTCATTTTAATGTCTTGTTGTCCTCAGAGGCCAAAAACACCATTCGTTCAAATTTGTATATATATGTGTGTCCGTGAACGCGATAACTTGAGTGATTTTTGTCCGATTTTGATGAAATTTGGTTTAAAGGTGTAAGGCGGGATAAACTGAATGAGTTTGCAAACCAGCATGATCGGACCATGGTAACTTGGTTTTATTGGGTAAAAATTGGGTTTTCTCATTTTTTACCCTCAAAACACAAAATTTCCCAATTTCTCTCTAGACCTTTTTAAAGGGCTTAAAAAACAAATAATTTAGTATATCAAAGTGTTTTTGTACAATTACTGGTACCGTAACGGAGAAAATTAAAAATTAATTTAATTTAAAATTCCCACGTTCTTATGGAGAATATTGTTAATTGTTGTAGTTTGCTTGTTTATGGATATATATTTGTACAAAATTGGCAAATTTATTTATTTTATACTAAGCTGTAACGGTTATATTCCTCTTGGAATACCTACCGCTACTTTGGGTGACGTAGCTCAGGAATGAAACTCAGCACTCGCTTACAAAACCCAACTTTATTAATTACTCAAAACAACACAAAGAACACAAAGATAAACTAACAATCAAAAAGGTAGAGTAGACTGGAACTGTATAAATCATTTAGTTAGAAACTGAAACCCCAATTTGGAAAAGACTCTAAACACCAATTTTGAAAACCCTTAACATATTCTTAGCTGGAGCCCAAGGCCCTTGGACCCCGTCCTCTGGTGCACCACACAAACCACTCCACACAAAACTGACCCCTTGATCAAGTGCACTGGCCTACTTAAAACAACAGCTTTCAGTAGGTCAGCACAACAAGTTATTGTTTAACAACACTACCAGCCTACTCACACAACATTGCCAAACACTTCCTCTTTACAATATTTGACCCTCCTATTACAAAGCTATTAATATTTTACCAAAAACCACACATTATTAGTTTCCTCGTTGCAGCAAACCTAATGTGTTTTAAAGATTTAATTGAAAATCAATTCAGGCAATATGGAAATTTGCTTAGTCAACAGGTTTGCTGCAGCGGGGGTATTTTTAGATTACATTGGTAATGTAATTTTACTGGTTTATTTCGACAACAGCTAAGATAGTCAAGAGTAAGTAAGTATGGTCTGTATGTTACCAGCAAAGTAGCCTATAAAATGCAGGCTTTCTATACATTGCCTGAAGTTTTTTAAGTTAAAGTATGAAATGAAGTGGTAGTAGTAACAGAGATTTCATATAATTTGAAATCTCAGATATTGTGTTTACTTAGGAATTTTAAAGAATGCCCAAGGTTGTATCAGGCAAAATTATTAAATAGATATTTTTTTTAATACTTTTCAACATAGAACTATTTTTTGTATAGGTAAGGTTAGTTTCCCGCGATCTTTGTGGGTATCAATATCAGTATTAGAATCGACATATTCCTATGTAGAATGAATTGAGTTAGACATTTTTCTCAAAGTAAGGTGGTAACTTATTAAACACTCATCAAGGACGGATGAATCTAATTACGAACAATGAAAAAGCTACTGACTTTTCTCATGATCAAACTTGCCTCCAACTAGGATTTCTGATCATTGAGTGTGCACCATATCCACTCAGCGATCCAGCTAAGACTACAAGATCGCCCCACTCATCCTACACTCATCTCCATTCATACTTGGCTTAAAATACCTACATTTTATGGTCGCCATTTCAAATAAGTATTAAGTACTAAAAAGTATTCATTTGGATAATAGAGTCATAAACGGTTATAAAATGCATTATTTACCATCAGATATCTATTCTAATTGTCACAGATATGTAGCGATTTTGCACCAACCTGCACACAGGAGTCAGCTGGTACGAACTCAGGGATACAAACGTCAGTGGTTTGACCTCTGCTGTATTCAGCAAACGCCATCAGAACATCCAACACTGAGAGACACTGAATGGCCGATATCCAATCCTCATACCTGCGGAAAACAATATCTCAAACAATCACTTCAAGGTAGCAACACACTTTGGGTACATTCAATACAGTCCCGCTGTTGCAAAACTATGTTAAAATTTCAATACCCCCTGCCGCAGCAAACCTGCAGACTAAGCGAATTTCTATTTGCCTGATTGGATTTACACTAAAATGTCTCCTTAAAAATATCACATTTATTCCCTATTTAAATAACATTGGTTTAACGAGTACTTAGGTTGCTGCAACAGGGAGGGTAAATAACCCCGCCGCAGCAAACCTGCAGACTCATACCTGCAGAAAACAATATCTCAATCAACCCAAGATAGCAATGCACTTTGTGTATATAGGTTACAATATAATAAGAGTGCTATTCAATAACCATCCCATGATTTCAAAAACCAGCCTATCCTGAACGTGAGACTGGAAATAATTTATTTCATTAATGTTCAATATTACAATGTTAGTATACAGCTAATTTTGTCACCCCGAATGTTGTTGTAGTTAGCAATGTTGCCTCAAATATTGGAAAAACTAGCGAATGTCGAAGGAGCTAGCAATATAGCAACAAACATTGTGGAAGCTGACAAAACATTCATGACATTTTGTCATTAGTCTGATTTTGGTCTGATTTTTGTCTGATTTGGTATGATTTGGTCTGGTTTGGTCTGATTTGGTCTGATTTTAGTCTGATTTGGTCTGATTGGTCTGATTTGGAGTTTCCAATTGAAATCCATCACCACATAGCCTCTAATACAAACCCGCCACAACATTGGCTACACCGCGGTCCCGTCAAAACAAAACAGCTGTAGTACTAATTTATAATGGAGAGTATAGGCAGTTGTTATGTTTACACTTTTGTTATTTCTGTTATTACCATGGCAATAGGCATGACGTTGCAACACACCAACGCCACTACCTCTATGCCACTTTATCTTTTATATGTATTAACTGTCTTGAGAGTCAACAGTGTAAGTGTAAACATATGTTTAAGTGTAATTACACCCACTTTTATGTACTTTCAGAAATTTGTATACAACCAAAAATGCTGATCAAGAGGTTATTTTGTAAAATGTCACTCACCTTTCACTAAACCGAGAGAAAATTCTTTTCCTGAGCCCGTGTAGAACATTTGTTCGCCTTTCTTCGGCAGCTATTTGCTCTTCAAGAAGTTCCTAAGAAAACAAGCAAATAGCAGCATTTTTAGTTAAAACATAGTATTTTGATCAGGACAAAACAAATTCCAGTATTTAAAAAAGTTTGATAAAGTTGCTTAACAAAACCAGCATAACACAAACTTCCTGACTAAAACAAACTTCTTTTTTACATAACTTGTAAGGTTGGAACAGGAACAAATTTTTAGCACGCAGATGTAACAAAACCTTGAGCCTTAATGAGAAGTTGGATGGATTATAATCATACACTAAATACCTTAGCTTCAGGTGTATAGTACTTCTTGAACCCTTTCCTCTGCCCCTGCAGCTGGTATTCAGAGGAAGTAATTTTGCGAACAGCTGGTTCAGGGATTTCCAGTTGGAACCTCTTCTTGTCAGCACCAACAAACGACACCTTGGTGAACAAATAATTATATTAAAACAAATATTCTAGTTGCATATCAAAGCTTTGTTCATAACGCAAACGTTGGTTGAAAATGGTGTCAGTGGATTCTAATAAAGTGTTTGTGTTTTTAGCTAATACTGAATTTTTTCCACTAAAATCTGGTATATTAACAGTAATTCTTAAAACTGAATTAGAAAATGATGGCTAAATTAAATTTATTCATATAGGTAGCACTATTTAGCCTAACCATTTTACATGTCATGCGTAAATCCATGAGAAATTAGGGCCATCTTGGAACAGAGGTAAATTAATTCTCTTATTGTGAAGACATTGTAAATGTTCTTATTTGTCTTGGATGGCAGAACAATTTTACTGGCCTACAAGTTTAGTAATTATTTCAAGACATTGTACCATCATAAAAGTTGTTAGTATTAAGATTGATTTTTTATTTGAATTTCACGCTATGCAGAGGATATCACCATGAAACCGCTTAAATAAACGGTACCAGCAAACTGACACAAACTTCTAATTAGCTTGTCATTGAAATTTAACATAATTATTGTAATTATACTGGGTAACTGGATAGTGTAGCTAAAAAGAAGAATCAAACAAAACCCTAATGAAATTAAATACTTAAGGTAAATATGTAGAATTTAGGAGTGAATGAATGTAATAAAAACTATGAAACAGTGTGTAGTACGTAGCTGTAGGCTACATCTTTAAGAAAGTTTCCAAGTTTTGGACAAAATCACAAAGGTTGTAACAACTTTTTAACCTTATATTAAGAATAAATTTTTCCACGGAAATCTTTAGTAGGCAGACGACCGAGAGGTTATTGCTGTAGCGCGTAGGCACGTCCCCTGCGTGGGACGAATTAACTTGTATTGTGCACTGGGTATTTTGAAAATAAATCGCTTTTTCTTTTTTCTTCTTCTCTCTTCTTCTAAGAATCAATTTTTCCCAAAATTAAACACACCTGGAGATACCACGAAAGTCGAAAACCCACATATCAAATTTTATCAAAATCAGACCACAGGTATAGTTTAGCTCTGTACACATCCAAGTTTGTATTCAGATGGACCCAAAAATGATATTTGCACCCAAAACTTAAACTAAAAAATATTGAGTATGTGACTGAAAAAATATTTTTTCTATTTACCATGTATAGGGGGAGAAAGTAAACATGGGTTAGTTTAGGTAGTTCAATCTAACTCCAAGAAAAGTATAACTTTGTTCCAAATAGGTATTTTGACTTTTAACTTAGCAGACACAAAGAATTTACAAGCACACACACCTAAAAACTCATCCTAAAAATTGGAGAGCCTAAATATTGACCAATAACTACAGGGAGTACCAATACCATGCAAACTAACTCTTAGACATCCATAGACATCTTTCTGCTAACCTTGCATCCAAAATATTCACACTGACTCTTGAGGTACGCCTTCTGCTTCTTCTCTAACACACTGAGAGCTTCAACAGCTTGGTCGTAGTCTGGGTCAACTCCGGGACTCGGCACTATGTTACCTTCCTTGCTGGCCTCCTCGTGATCGAACGCATTCTGTAAACACAAGAACAAGTGTGTCTAGTTATCTTTGAGGTGAAAGTCTCATATATTATGGAAGATGGACGTAAGTTTGTGGGATTTGAATTATTGTCAGATAGATTAATTTAGGGCAATTAAAACTAGAGGTGTACAAACAGCTTGATTTGTTAGCCAAGCCTAAACTAAAAGCTCAAGAGATTGAACATAAAGTAAAATATTGAGCTCAAGCCAAGCTTATAGGGTGCATTAGATTGTGATTGCAGAACGTGTCTATGAAGATAGAAAATTTCACGCCACGATCAAGGGTAACGGCAAAAAAGTGATTGCAGGAGACAATGATATTGTTTCCATGACCGTAGTAGGTTCGGTATTTTGCCGCGATCATGGGACATGATAATGTCTACACAACTGCAGTAGACGCCCACGAATGGGCCGTGGTAGCGGATAATGATGATGATGTCTACACAACCCCAGGAGATGATCAATATTTTGCAGCGATTGCAGAGACAATGATGATGTCTATTAGACTGCAGTGGTTGACTAGGACTTAACGTGATCACAGAAGATGGTGAAATCATGTACATATGACCACGGTTAATGATCAGAATGAATTAAGATTACAGGATGACAAGGTTAATGAAGAAGGATGGCATACCTTAAAGAAATCTAGATGACTGGTAAGATCTGGGAATTTTCCAGGACGGTTTGAAGTCTCAAAATGAGAACATTGGGCAAGCATTTCCGATTCTTCGCCGACGCCAGACTCTAAAATGACAAAAATACAGTAAATACATTTTAAAATACACAAAATTTGTGTTAACCTAAGTTTACTAAAAAATTGTTGTATTTGATGAAGACTTTTTTAAGACAAACAAAAGTTTTGATGGGGAAAAAAACCAGGATTTGGATTATTAGCTATCAAAATTGTAAAAAAGTCCAATAACACAGAAAAAAATTAAAAATTCTAAAATAAAAACCCAAATAAAATGTTAAACAAACCTTGAAATTTCAGAGCAATATCCTGCACAGCATTGAATCCGTTTAATACTGAAATGAACTCTTCTATTTTCTTCTTAGAGTATGTTCGTTCTTCGAAGAATATCGCTCGGCTGTCCGGGTGCGATGGGCTCAAGCCTCGGCTGCTCTGCGCGTAAATCCTGTAAATATATTAATGGTTGCATATAAATACCATTGGCATAACTTAAAACAGCATCCATATTAAATTGTTAATAGTTATTTTTGGTAAAATGCTTTAGGCCAGATAAGGAAATTTGAATTTACCAAATTCTCTACTTCACATTAATATAAATTGTTTTGACTTCATGTCGTATATTAGCTGCTGAGCTTTACTAGCTAGATAAGCGAATAGTTAGGTCACCTTGCTAGTAGCCTCTCCAAGTCAGGTAGCTTGGTCATCAGAGGTCGGACATCTTGAATGAGTTCAGGTCGACCAATCAGCTCCGTAACAGCTGTTTGTCTGGCGCAAATACTGCTGATGCTGGTCACCGGGTTGCAAAGCCACTGCCTCAGCAATCTGTACAAACATCGCGGTCAACTTACGATTGACTTATAAACTTTACTTTTAGGTTTAAAATTTGCAGAAAAAATGCAGGATAGAATGTAGTTTAACTAAGAAAAAGTCTAGATTGGCCACACATTGAAGAGACAAAACACACAATATTTCGTTAATTTCAGGACTTTACCAAAAGTAAAAATGTACAAAAATAGATTACAATTTGGTACATAATTTAAAGTTTTGGGATGGAATCAGCTACCTACACTCGGCGTGGGTTGATTCAGTATTATCATGAAAGCGCTACCTAAATGTTTTTGTATGCATAACTTTTTTTTAACTGTGATTTTTAACGAGTTGCAGACTTTGAAAATGTTGTCTTTGCAAAAGAACATGTGAGCTACTTAACATTCTTAGTGGACTATTTGACGGAGTTGGGTTATTCAGGATTATTTTTAACCAATAAGTACTACTTAAAACTTACTGTATGTGGGTAGAGATGGTTGGTACTAAGAACCGAAGAATTTCAGTCAGGAACCAGTAGTGGTACGTAAATTGAAAAGGAGGTACCGACACATCACTACTTTTGAACAAATTAAACTCTAAACTGGTTTTACAGATCATAATAGAGTGGGGTTAATATTCTGTTGTACCTCTTGCCCATAGGGGTGGAGCAATGATCCAATTTGTACAGTAGCGTCCCTGTTGTACCTCCGCAAGAATTTTCTAACACATGAAGATTTTTCAATGTAACTGAGTCTAGAATCTGTAAAGAATCAATATATTACTAACCTACAGATATGATATTTTTGGTAAGGTTCTAGACCAGAATAGGTTTAATTTTGAGTTTAATAGGAAAAGCAGGCTTGCCTGTTCATTGGTTGAGTCTTCTCAACACGAAACAAATTATATACACAGAATTAAAATATTTCAAGGCCATGGTCACTCACCACCTTGTCAAACACAAAGAAAGGAAGACTTTTCTTCATAAATCTTTGTCTCATGGTGTCCTGGCTTATTGTCTCCAGTCACACAATTTAAAATGCTATCACTATAATGAAAGAATGAATTTACCATATGTCTAGCAGTTATTGTATCCTCTGGTTTTTTCTCCTCCAAAACCACAGAACTATCACAGTCGACAGGTACATAAACTTTGAACTGTCCCATGGACAATAACTGTTGATCTAGCAGACATCTTGATAGATACCTACAAACAACACATTTCTTTGGGAAATTTTTCCGAGATGTTGGTCTACATTATTGTGTTTAACAAATTTAATAGAATAATTACGTTGGTCACAGATTATTGGCTAAATCAAACAGTGTTTTTTATTCTATGGGCATTACTTTTTTACTTTCTCTCTCTATATAGCATATAGGGAAATTATAGTTTTTTCCCAAATTTTCAATTTTGATTTCTTCTGGATTGAAATATCCGTCTTGGATCCCCCTGAACAAAAAAAGTGGTTTTCAAAGTTATGTATGTGTGTGTGCAGACTACACCTATGATCTGATTTCGTTGAAATTTGGTATGTGCCCACTAATCCATGGTATCTCCAAGTTTCCCAAACTTTTAAAATTTTGATTTTAACAGTAATTTTTGCATAAAACCCCCAAAAAACTGATTTTCACAAAAATGACACACACGATTTTGATTTGAAATTTAGTATTTTCAACTCTGAACAAAAAGGTACAACCCCAATATTGTAAAAATCGAGGATAAAAGTTATTTATTTTTGTGATTTTACCCAATATCAAAGTTACTCTCACCGCTTACTCATGATAAAGGTTGTTGACAAGCTAATGATAATAAGAGAAAATATCTGTCAGTTTTCTTATACTGTTAATTAGTAAAATCATACTTATACTGACTAATATGAGCACACAATAGTCGAGGAGTACATACCGAGACTTAATCTGTCTTTGTCTTTTCACAGCTTGTTCATTATATTTATTTTTATCTACTTGAGGTACCAAATTATCAAATTATCGTGATTCAACTCAACTATTTCTACAAAAAGTTTTAAGTATCAAACGTGTTCTCACCAGGTGACAGCACCAAGGGCCCGAACTGCAAGGTCCGCATCATCATGAGCAGTCAGCCCTAGTGTGTCAACTGTCAACAATCAAAAACAAAATTTCTGTCATTAAAATGTTATAAATTGTCAAGTGCTAAGCATGATCAATAGTAGACAATAAGCTGTGAAGATTTAAAATCCAGTCATGGTCTGATCAACAGATTTACTTAGGCTTACATGTTGTGAGTTGTTGATTCGATCGTAACCACAAAACCACTATTTGATGGTTTGAAGCTACATGAAGGGAAAAAGTGAGATGAAGCTATCCCTGGTTATTATTGCTGGTTAACACGTAGAGTGCGGCCGTTCCCGATCGGGTACGGTGCTTGGCCCCCGTACGGTGCGTCCGTACCCCATCGGGAACGCTCGGTAATGCCTTTTGTATATCTTCGTTTTTGCTCCAGCGTCGGCCGAAAGCGGACCTATACGACGTTAGCGTGTAGTATGTGACTTGCATTTTGTTGTGGTGTAGGTTGGTAGTAAATTTCCCCGTAAAATCCCCGTCTGGCAATCTCAAAAGTCTTCTTTTTTTCCCGTCTTTTTCCCTCCATTTGGCAATACAATTCCAATGGGACCGGCTACGTTCCAAGCAGTGCTGCTATCTGTGGGTGTTTAGCGAACTACATCGACTCTCGTTGTAAAGCAGGACATCCCCTCACGTTATTTGCTATTCGTCAGACCAAAATTGAAAAGGCCAATCACACGCGGCAATCGGGTTTACTCGACGCTGAGGGCTGCGCCGCACTGGGGATACGCCCGCTATTTGACGTGCCGCAGCGAACGTGTTAAATATTTCTGCCTAAAGAATCTGCTGGTTATTGTCAGTTAAAAAACTGTACAAAACAATTTAGCGCATCCAAATTAATGTTTCTTTTAAATTTTGCTTGTAATATGTCAACATTGTGTCACCATTTTACAAATAGTATAAATCCTAAAAATTTTATTCTGCATTATATTCTATTGTTGTTTTAACAGTCATTAATCATTCTTATCGACGAGTCTTCCTCGTCACCCGTTAAAAGAGACTGTTGATGATACCCGCTCGTCATGACGCAACCCGCTAGGTGGTGGCATCTGACGACAAACCAGTGAACTATTTTTAGCTAGGACTATACAGCACATTGTCCATTGGTTGCTCCATATTTTATAGCTATTCTCTATCATAGTGAGTGCAACAGAACAGATGAAGCCTATTGTTTTTAACATGAAAACTATGAAGTGTTGACACTAGGTTATGATCCCTTTAGAGAACTATTAAGTTGTCAATATGGACCTAAAGCTCCATTTGATAGTTTCCTAGGTATTTTAAAATTCTATTTTGATGCCGAAGTTATGAGTTTGATCATGACTAGCAGCAACACTTATTCCAACCAGCGAGGGGAAAACAAAAGATGGTTAGGCACAATTAGGGAAAAAAATTTTGCAGTAAGGTCCACCGAGCGTTAAAAAATCCAGCCCTGAAGTGTGAAAAGGCTGATAACTTTTTATAGTGACGAAAACATCCAATGTAAGCTTTTAAATTTTGAAATAAGCGGTAGAGAAAAATCCAGTAGTGTTCAAATTTTAACAAGAAATCTACTCATTTCAAACATACTTTTATCTTAAAACATCTTCAAAACAGTTTGAAACCAAGGAACTATTGTAAATCAAGACGTTTTTACCTATTTAAAAATCGTTTGGAATGATTTTCCTTTATACAAAATTAGTATTCACCAACAAATTCTAGCGTACAAAAGCCTTTTAGATGGCAGGGAACCTAGTTACATACATTAAGTGAGCAAACGTCAAAACAACATAGAATGTAGGTCATTGAGAGATGCAACCATGGTGAATTGTGATTATGAAAAAATATTGTCAGCAGGAGACATATAAGGTGACTGTAACAGTGAAGGCAAATAATCATGAATAACAGTCTGTTTATATTCACATTAATGCATCAGGTATTTCATAGTTTATAAGTAGATTTTTATTGCTCTCAGTTAGTTATATTAAAACATTTAAACAATTTGATATCGGTTGAACTAATGTTATGCATATCCTTACAAAACTGACGCTTACATTTGTTATTTTGTTCTAAGGAAACAAACATATGCAATAGCTAGACTCTAATTGAATAGCTCTGCAAGTACTGCCAACCTATGTATTTTTTTCATCAACCAAATATCCAACACAGTAGGGAATATCATCGTTCTTCGTTCTTTTTTGTTGAATCTTTCTTCAAAAATATCAACATCACAAAATATGTTGTTTGCAACGTTGTTCTCTAGAGATTATACTTTTAAAATGTATTGTTAGTACTAAATACCCTGTGTTATATGATGTTATGTGTTTATAATGTATTCAAATTTTACGGTTATAAATAACTAGACTAGAACAATAGATTCATCAGTACTGAAGTTAAATTCAATTCACTAAGTTAAGACATTAATGAGGACTTAAGACCTGAATTTTATAAACCTAACGTTTGTATTCAAAATGGTTCATAGAAAAATTCTATATTTACTAAATATCCAATACCCACTACAAATAGCATAGCAAAAAAAAGTGTACATTAAATTTGCAAAATGTTATGAAGATGTATCTTTTTACGAGCATATGAATAAAATTAATCTATTCTCCAAAACTATAATGGATATATAACCAGCCTATTTTTTCGTATACGCAAATGACAGAAATTTTCCAAAAATCAAACAATTTATTTTCACCCAGTGGTTAAGATAACTACAGACATACACACATTATAATTATACGAGCGAACAATGGTTTTGGCTTGTGGGACCCTAAAACCATCAAGTGCAGTGGCCCAAACCTTTATTACACGTTCTACCATACAAGAAAACTTGATAAAACTATAAAATATGTCCTTAAAACCTTTCTAATTCCAGATATTGCAGTCAACAGCAGTGCCTCCGGGTTATATCTTCAACAAACTCTTCCCACAAGCTGGACAATCTCCCGGATATCTTCCAGGATCGACATCCGGAGTTACACCTCCAGCATCAGCCTTTCCCATTCCCGGAATAACAACTTTATTTCCTGGCTTTTCGGCGATTCTTCCTGAATTGTCAAATGCCTTTGTATCAAATCCATATTCGGTTTCTGGAACATCCGTAAATCCTGTCGCGTATACTCCTGGAAATGTTCCAGCAATTACAAATTTTCAAAACGCAATGCTTCCCGGATTGTCAAGCACTCCAGGATTGACTACTGGATATGGTCCTGGAACATCAGATTCAGCCACTGGAACTTCCGGAGCTGGAATTCCAGGGATCATTCCAGCAATTACTGCACCCTTTTTATCAGGAATAAGTGCAATTCTTTCAGGATCACAATACCTTTCGACACCTGCTACATCTAGTTCTGATGGGACAACTGGATATCGTCCTGGAACTTCAGATTCAGCCCCTGGAACTTCCGGAGCTGGAATTCCAGGAATCATTCCAGCAATTACTGCACCCTTTTTATCAGGAATCGGTGCAATTCTTTCAGGTTCACAATACCTTTCGACACCTGCTACATCTAGTTCTAATGGGTTTGTAGCACCTAACATTCCTTTTGATCAAATCAAAAACCAGATTGATGCAGCCAAAGCAAACCTTTTTCAAAACGGACTGACGAACGGCATTTCACAAGCACTCTCAGGATTTTTTCATGGTTTGGTCAATCCTGTGAATACATCATCAACGAATATTCAAAGTAGTTAAACCGTATCTATTATTTACTGAATTTATGAATAGACTGTGATGAAATTTTTCAATAAAAGCTGTTGGTGTACATGACTTTCTATTAATCTTGTGACTTGGTGTACAATTAAGTAAATAAGAGTAAATTATTGTAAAAATCTGTTTTCAACAAGAGTCTGGATGGAAATTGTCCGTATATTCAGTGTATGTATAAGAGATCATTATCTATGAACATGAAATGTGTTCTTGCACATTTTACCCTAAATATGAATGCAGGATTAAGTTGATATCTTGAACTGCTTTCTGAACACCTAATTGATAAAGTATTAGAAATCCTGTCTTTGATCACTACATTTTTAGTCAGCATCTACGTCTGGATCATTAATGATCAAAGTATTTGTAATTATAATTGCCAATTGAGATAGATACTAATTTAAAATAATAACTTCGCCAATATTTCTGAATTTTTAATTTTTATGAGGCCTTTCGCCAGCTATGCTGGCATCATCAGACACATCACAAAACTGAAGGTTATGTTTATGTTTACAATTATAAATTTTAAAGAATGTAACATATGGGTAGTTAAAAATAAAAACTATTCTGTTAAGTACATTTAGCTAAAGTTACAAACATAAATCATATATGTATAAAAATGGAATATCAAGTAGAATTAACTTATAACTTTGTAAATTTAGAATTTAGTAATGTAACATTTTGAATTGGACCGTTATCATTATTTACCAAATTGTCCATTTTATTTATAAATAATGATTCCCATGCATTTAGTTCATTGGATTTTGTTATATTTTTTAGTAATTTAGTATTATTGATTGATATTGTGTGGTCCGTTTCTAAGCAATGTTTTGCTATTGCTGATTTTTCAGGTCTGTTGTGTGTTATGTGAGAAGTGTGTTCTTTGAATCTAGTTTTAATATTTCTTTTTGTTTGTCCAACATACTTCATCTCACAACTGTCACACTGAATTTGATAAATGCCAGATTTTGATGTATTTTCTAATTTACTTTTTGGATTTCCAAGAATGTTTTTAATTTTGTTTTTCGCTTTAAATGAAACCATTAATTCAGCATTTTTCTGAAACGTTTTCTTGACGTCTTTATGTTGCTTAGTATAGGTAGCGGCTTACCCATTTCTTCTTTACTTTGATTGGTTCCAGTTTAGTTCTTTTCTTTTTCTCGTTTCTTTTTAAAGCTTTTGTCAACATATTGTCTACAATTTTGGTCTCGTATCCATTATACTTAGCCACGTCTTTTATGTAGTTAAGCTCTTTATTATAATTTTCTTAGGACAGTGGAGTATTTAAGAGGCGATATATCATTGAATTAAACGCTGATCTTTTTTGTTCTGGAGGGTGATGAGAATCTTGAGTGATAAACCTATTGGTGTGGGTTGGTTTCCTGTAAATATCAAACTCGAGCTTTTCATTATTCCGTAGGATTAGTACATCCAGAAATGAGATCTTCTTATCATTTTCAACCTCATATGTGAACTTTATTGATGGATATATGAAGTTTAATTTGTTGACAAAGTCATTAAGGTTTTCTTTCCGATCAAAAACTGCAAATATGTCGTCTACGTACCTTAACCATGTTCTTGGAAAATATGTCATTTCTTCTTTTGCTTTTGTTTCAAAATGGCTCATAAATATATTTGCTATAAAACATGATAGTGGATTTCCCATAGCCGTTCCTTCAGTTTGGATTTCCTTAATGACTTTGTCAACAAATTAAACTTCATATATCCATCAATAAAGTTCACATATGAGGTTGAAAATGATAAGATCTCATTTCTGGATGTACTAATCCTACGGAATAATGAAAAGCTCGAGTTTGATATTTACAGGAAACCAACCCACACCAATAGGTTTATCACTCAAGATTCTCATCACCCTCCAGAACAAAAAAGATCAGCGTTTAATTCAATGATATATCGCCTCTTAAATACTCCACTGTCCTAAGAAAATTATAATAAAGAGCTTAACTACATAAAAGACGTGGCTAAGTATAATGGATACGAGACCAAAATTGTAGACAATATGTTGACAAAAGCTTTAAAAAGAAACGAGAAAAAGAAAAGAACTAAACTGGAACCAATCAAAGTAAAGAAGAAATGGGTAAGCGCTACCTATACTAAGCAACATAAAGACGTCAAGAAAACGTTTCAGAAAAATGCTGAATTAATGGTTTCATTTAAAGCGAAAAACAAAATTAAAAACATTCTTGGAAATCCAAAAAGTAAATTAGAAAATACATCAAAATCTGGCATTTATCAAATTCAGTGTGACAGTTGTGAGATGAAGTATGTTGGACAAACAAAAAGAAATATTAAAACTAGATTCAAAGAACACACTTCTCACATAACACACAACAGACCTGAAAAATCAGCAATAGCAAAACATTGCTTAGAAACGGACCACACAATATCAATCAATAATACTAAATTACTAAAAAATATAACAAAATCCAATGAACTAAATGCATGGGAATCATTATTTATAAATAAAATGGACAATTTGGTAAATAATGATAACGGTCCAATTCAAAATGTTACATTACTAAATTCTAAATTTACAAAGTTATAAGTTAATTCTACTTGATATTTCATTTTTATACATATATGATTTATGTTTGTAACTTTAGCTAAATGTACTTAACAGAATAGTTTTTATTTTTAACTACCCATATATTACATTCTTTAAAATTTATAATTGTAAACATAAACATAACCTTCAGTTTTGTGATGTGTCTGATGATGCCAGCATAGCTGGCGAAAGGCCTCATAAAAATTAAAAATTCAGAAATATTGGCGAAGTTATTATTTTAAATTAGTATTAATTCCAATATTAACAGTTCTTCTTAAAAATTGAGATAGATACAACAGGGCCTCTTTGCCAAAAATTAAAGAAATATCAGTGTAGAAAAAAGAGAGATGAATTGTATAGCTTTGTGACTGGCTGAACTGCTATGTTAGCCCTGGCCATTTATTTAAAGCAATGATCAAAAACAGCTGGATACAGTTTCCATGCATCAAAAAGCTATGAGTTTTTTTTTTTTTTTTTTTTTATTAAGCTGCGACCGTCTTACCCATTAAGCTATCCAGTTATTTACAGTGTCTTAATTATTATAGGTACAAAACTAAAATAATGACACAACAATAAATACTACATACATTCTCCAAGGAATTGCTTGAGGCCCTCAGGAGTTCCATCTTCGAAGTACTTGCGCTCAGAGAGTGTGGTCAGCGTCTTGGTGGAGCTCCAGAACTCTGACTCTGGAGCCAACTGTTCCTTCATCACTGTGACTAGAGAAGTGTTGAGTACCTGGAGTGTCCGAGGTGACAGCTGTCCTCTCTCATACAGAATCTGTTAACAGGTAACTCTATTGTAACAACATCAATAACCAGGTTCCTAATAACCAAATGTAAATAGACATGTCTACAAATCACTCTGTACACAGACTTGTCAGTTAATTACCTGAGCTGGAGGATGATGAGCAAACAGAGTGCGTAATCTGGAGCAATGCTTGTCATCAGTGAACTGTCCCAAGTGAAACACTGCTATAGACGTGTCTATACACTCTGTACACAGACTTGCCAGTTAATTACCTGAGCTGGAGGATGATGAGCAAACAGAGTGCGTAATCTGGAGCAATGCTTGTCATCATTGAACTGTCCCAAGTGAAACACAGCTATAGACGTGTCTACACACTCTGTACACAGACTTGCCAGTTAATTACCTGCGCTGGAGGACGACGAGCAAACAGAGTGCGTAATCTGGAGCAATGCTTGTCATCAGTGAACTGTCCCAAGTGAAACACTGCTATAGACGTGTCTATACACTCTGTACACAGACTTGCCAGTTAATTACCTGAGCTGGAGGATGATGAGCAAACAGAGTGCGTAATCTGGAGCAATGCTTGTCATCAGTGAACTGTCCCAGGTGAAACACTGCTATAGATGTGTCTACAAAACACTCTGTACACAGACTTGCCAGTTAATTACCTGAGCTGGAGGATGATGAGCAAACAGAGTGCGTAATCTGGAGCAATGCTTGTTATCAGTGAACTGTCCCAAGTGAAACACTGCTATAGACGTGTCTACAAAACACTCAGTACACAGACTTGCCAGTTAATTACCTGAGCTGGAGGATGATGAGCAAACAGAGTGCGTAGTCTGGAGCAATGCTTGTCATCAGTGAACTGCCCCAAGTGAAACACAGCTATAGACGTGTCTACACACTCTGTACACAGACTTGTCAGTTAATTACCTGAGCTGGAGGATGATGAGCAAACAGAGTGCGTAATCTGGAGCAATGCTTGTCATCAGTGAACTGTCCCAGGTGAAACACTGCTATAGACTTGTCTACACACTCTGTACACAGACTTGCCAGTTAATTACCTGAGCTGGAGGATGATGAGCAAACAGAGTGCGTAATCTGGAGCAATGCTTGTCATCAGTGAACTGTCCCAGGTGAAACACTGCTATAGACGTGTCTACAAAACACTCTGTACACAGACTTGTCAGTTAATTACCTGAGCTGGAGGATGATGAGCAAACAGAGTGCGTAATCTGGAGCAATGCTTGTCATCAGTGAACTGTCCCAGGTGAAACACTGCTATAGACGTGTCTACAAAACACTCTGTACACAGACATGCCAGTTAATTACCTGAGCTGGAGGATGATGAGCAAACAGAGTGCGTAATCTGGAGCAATGCTTGTCATCAGTGAACTGTCCCAGGTGAAACACTGCTATAGACGTGTCTACAAAACACTCTGTACACAGACTTGCCAGTTAATTACCTGAGCTGGAGGATGATGAGCAAACAGAGTGCGTAATCTGGAGCAATGCTTGTCATCAGTGAACTGTCCCAAGTGAAACACTGCTATAGACGTGTCTACACACTCTGTACACAGACTTGCCAGTTAATTACCTGAGCTGGAGGATGATGAGCAAACAGAGTGCGTAATCTGGAGCAATGCTTGTCATCAGTGAACTGTCCCAAGTGAAACACTGCTATAGACGTGTCTACACACTCTGTACACAGACTTGCCAGTTAATTACCTGAGCTGGAGGATGGTGAGCAAACAGAGTGCGTAGTCTGGAGCAATGTTTGTCATCAGTGAACTGTCCCAGGTGAAACACTGCTATAGACGTGTCTACAAAACACACTCCATATACTGACTTGCCTTCCACGTCCTAAAAAATACAAAGACTATCAATCATCAACAGATAATAAAATATATATTCATAACAATTATGGTATTATAGCCTACTAGTTACAGATAAATATTGAAAAATGTGTTAACACCTGATTATAGAAATACAGTTAGCAGATAGTTCTTAGCAAGTAGCAATGTAGGCTAATTGGCAACAACATTTTCAAAGAAATTATTGACAAGTTCACCAACCCACTTTTATTGTATGGGAATTGAAATGTATTGAAATGTATCGTAAGTAAACCAAACAAACACATTTACGGATTTACGTACTAACAGTGCTGAAGCAAGATGACAAACCTTTTCAGTGAGAGCCACCAGGAAGTTACTATCTGCATTCACAGACTCTCCATCTTGAACACTGAACACTTTTGTTCCCTTCGTTGTCAGCTGACAGATTTCTCGTTTCACAACTTTATCGAATTTTGTAGATTTTCCTCCTGTGAAAATTAACTTAAGTTACTAATTCCACATAGGTAATTAAATTGATACATATTCTATTCTGATTACTGGAATTGTTGTAGAAAACTATTCTGTACAAGTATTCATTGTTAAAAATGTAGGGGAACAAATTTTATGTTAGAAGAATCATGTTAATTAGGCCTATTTCTGAATAAGCACAACCAGACTAACTGGGCCTAGTGTTGAAGCTGAATCTCAAATCTTAACATTAACAAATATCCAGGAACATTTAAAATCAGTTAAATTAAACAGTTAAGTTTAGATTTCATTATACAGTATGCCTAAATTTTTTGCAACAAACATACAAAGGTAGATCTGGCCGCAATTGAAGAAAATGTTCAAAATATTGTTTAGTTCAATTTAAAAAAATTTGAAAAGTTCTTAAATCTGACCATCATTCAATCGGCATTCAAAATTATTTACCATTTTTCAGATATTTTTACAAAATGTACGAGTCATTAGTGGCACATTATTAATTTGAACGGATTTGATACCCTGCTCATGGTTGTAGACATTTTTGTCAAGAAACCCGTTATGCAACCCCCATGCTAAACTCATCTTTTATTCATAATTAGCTTAAAATACCCAAATAGTCGGCTTTGCTGTCCCTTATGGTAATAGTAATGAATGAATGAAACTAGTCAAAAGACCTTTCAATTTTAAAAGCTTTATACAGAAGACTCCCTCTTATCTGGACACCTTTTAACTGGACATCGCCCAAAGTGCACTCGGCAGAAGTGACATCTCTTTAACCAGACACATTTTATCAGCACATTGGCTTAACCAGACTGGATCGGCAGGAAGTAGCCAGTACTGAAACAACTTTTCTCGAAGAAAGATTTGTGTGTGATCAATATGCTCTCCCAAATTTAAGTAAAACATTTGGGTTAGTTTTTGAGTAATTCCTTGGCATGCACATGAATTGTTAGTCGCGTTCATACAGTCTGTACTCTAGAAATTGTGGTTGTTATGAACGTTTGTATGTCAGTTTAACCGGATAAAACGTTATCCGGGCTGGTCTCAGTCCCAAAGAGTCTGGATAGGATGGAGTCAACTGAAATATTTTTATTTAAAAGCATTGATAATGTTAGAAGAGGTAGATGAAATACAAACTTTTAACCCTCTCGGCCATCATATCTGGCGTCTCGGTTTGTTCAACTCTAGCCACTTTATGCCCCCTCTCGACCATGGAGGCTGCGTACTTGCCATAGGCTACCTCCGGGAAACCAGTGTGAGCAAATTCTCCCTGAAGTTAACAAAAATCAAAAAGATTAGATTAGATTTACACACAACCAAAAATTCAGGATCTGTGTTTTATCGAAACATTTTCTATCATCTCGGTAAAAACATGGATCGCTTATTAATACACAGAAATTTTTGGAAAAAGCAGAACACCATTGACCAGGATGCATATTTTAAAGCACTGAGTGAATGATGAGTGTGAGTAAATGAAGAGACAGCTTTATTACCAACTAAAATCAGTTGTTTCGTTGACCAATCAAGGGCTCAAAATAATAATTTGTTACACAATCAAGGGTAAATTTGAACCATTTGTCTTTAAATAAATTTAAAGAGAAACACCAAATACAAAATTATTACGGAAACTTCATTTTAATGATTGTCATATGTCTAGACTTTTCACAAAGAAAAAAGTACTCAATTTTTGTTTGTTTAAGTTACTATGTGAATTTGTGTATACAATTACAAAGATTAAAATGTAAAATATAGGCTACATTAAATTACTGTTAAAAGAGTAGTTTGAATTTTTACAAAGATTGTTAGAAGTGTATCGTAACTCAGGTTTTTTTTCGTAATCTATATATTAATTTGAAACTGTTTTTCTTTGTCTCCACTAATTTGAGAGAACGGCTGGGCATAAAAACTCGGTAGAGGTGTCTAAAGAAAGTTCTTGGTCTGTAGAAGAGCCATATATAAGATTCGGAAATGCAAAAGAGCCATCACATCTGATCTCATTGCATAATTTGTTGCCAACAAAGTCGGACTAGGTTATGGATATAGTTCTGCAAATGTTCAAGATTTGTGGCCAAATTCGCTACAATTATGGTCCATCCCATCCACAAATTACATGCACAACTTTATGTGATCGATAGGGCCAAGGCAATTGGAATTGACCCTCGCATATCAATAAAAAGTTTAAATTTGACGGCAACCTCATGGCACGATTTCACAAAACTACGCCAGAAGTTAATCAATTATTAGCAAATAAGTACAGGATGATTAAATACATTAGTCGATGTGGCAAGAAAAGGAATCAAAATTGTTTAGACCCCATCGAAGTAAGAATGTTACTGCTTTCTGGAGAATCAGATATTTTTATCAAATACAAAAAAACAGATTTAATATGCAACCCGCTGAAAAAATTCTGTATGACCAAAGATGGTGATTCACTTATAGAATCCAAATGCGATCTGAATGATTTTCCTAAAGCAGATTGAACCAGTTATTAGAAATATTGACTCTTTCCATCAGATAATAGACCAATTATATGAACTCCTTTCCCCATATAGTGAAGGAGGCTTTAACATGAACAAAACTCATAAACAAGAAACTTGTAAAACTCCTAAAAAAAATTTTGGGCAACCTAAAGTTGATGAAAGGACAGAAAATATTGTATTCAACGAATTCATCAACCACGATTTTTAGGTACACAATCGTCGTAATTACGCTTATCCTCCCTTCATTTAACTAAGATTTTAATAACTTAACTCTATCTAACGCAGTTAGCTGAATTTACGTAAAACCTCAAGAGAAACCATCAATTTTGATGGGTTTCACCTAGTTAATATAATCTTTGATCTTCGACCTCATAAAATCAGACAGAAAACACAAGTTTACACAACTTTTTAATACGTGTACGAAATGGCATCGATTTGAACCCACCACCAGACAAGGTCATACATTTTATTACTATTATATATTACATCTCTAAGCCCATGGACTACCAATTTAGCTAAATCCCAGGCAAGCTGAACTCTATTCCTTTCCAAACAAATGCCTTAAATGATTTAGATTTCCCTTAAAATAAAAAGAACATAATCCAGAACCCTCTGATAATTTTACACTTTCATGCACAACAACAGATATTACCGATATACAAACATACCTTCATGTAGAGAAGATTTAACTCATTGGCTCCAATCACAGCATCCATGTGATAAAGTTCATAGAACTTTCCCACTTTGAAAAATATCACGCAATCAAAGTGTTTCGACTTCAATTCCCACCATTGCCTCATTCCCTGAAATCAAACAGAAAATCAATCAAACTGAATAGGTTTCGTAAACAACAGTCAAGTTTAAGTATACAACATTCTTGAAAACCAGAAGATTCAATGACAAGAAACGTAATTGTAAATCAATTATTTAACTGGAATATCCTAGCCTATAGAGTTAAATCAACGTTGAGGTTATAAATTTCATGATGAACAAATATTATTTAACACCTTCGAACATGAACTTCTCGTCACTTGATATTACCATGAACAGTAATGTTGGGCTTGCTTCAAAGTAGTGTTCCAAATTAGAAAATGTTGCATAAAAAGAAGACATCTCATTCTTATTGGATAAATGGACTTAAGTCAGACCAGCAAATTCTTATCATAGCAAATTTCCATTGGTGACTGGAAGGTTTTGAACTTACACCTCCAAGACTTACTTCCAGCCTTATGACTACTAGAATAACCTCACTTCTTAATGTTCTAAAATTACTTAAGTAGCAATTGTAAATAACTCAATTTGAAAATTAATAGCCACATCAAAACTATTCAAGTTTTGTCGAAGATTGAACTAAACTAAAGCAAGACTCAACGTACTGGGCTTAATTTCATCTTGAAGTCCTCAGGAACATGAACCGTCTTAGGATCGTACTCCGGGTGACTCGCTGGCCTCATCTTAATATCCTTGATTCTATTGGGTTGGAGGAAATCGTACTTCAAATGTGGCCAGTTGTCTCTGTCAGAAGACACTTTCTGCAAACAAAAAATTGCGGTTATCTTGCAATTCAAGAAAAATAACAATGGATTATTTAAATTAAACTGATAAGCATTTTTAATAATCTAATATGATTGTATATCTCTAAGAAATTCTTATTAAGAAAAGCGACCCTTTTCATTTCAAGATAATGGGCCTAGCCAATTGATTTTTTTTAGACCAATGCTCAAATTGCACATTTTAATAGGGTTAAAACTCGTCTCCAACGCATTACGAATAATGCAATACTCCTTTACCTTTCAAGTTGACTTTATAGCTTTTTAACATAACAATCTCACTGTTGCTAGCTAAACAACCATTGAAGGTAACCAGGTGTTAAACTACGATTTATTCACATTTAAAACTGTTAAAGAAAGTTAATCAGCAACACTAAACCTTTTAAAACACTCTCTATAAAAAAAGGGCTGGTGACTGGAAATTACAATTTATCACTCGGCTGGATCATTTTTAAGCTTTAAAATGACACCACAATCTACAAGGGCAATCCAACATGACAGTTAAAAAAAGGATGTTGCCCCTACTGGTATTGCATTTTAATAGACTTCTGACAATTGAGCGACAATTTACATAAAGGCTTGACAACAACACCTTAAAAGTGTTGAAACCTGTCATGAAGCAGACGACTACGGATTACTTGATGCCACATCAGGTATCTTTTAAGTAGGCCTAATGTGGAACTCGTGAAGTCATGTTTATCATGTAAGTAGACAAGGTTGGTGGAATTGATGAGAATTTTTATTAACAATTTGGAATTTAGAGGTTCATTAGATATCATAACAATAGACAAGATCCTAGGTACTAAAAAGTTAAATCCTATGTATTTTTAGTGTTGTTGAGGTAAGTTAAGTTTAATAATAACCTGTAATCAAATACTACCAACCTCTTTACTTGTAGGAGTTGCAGGCGTGGAAGGCTGTAACGAAATTTTCTGCTTGCCAGGCGTAACACTAGGCGCTGCTTTTTTACCATTCTTCTTACCACTAGGTGCTTTGCGCTTTTTACCCTGAAAATGAGTAAAAAGATGGTGATTGTACGTTTCAAGATATTGTAAAAAATTATGTATATGGTGAATACCAAAAAATATTTCAGTGAAAAATTACCATGAGCCCTACTTGGTAATAGCTTATTCTCTATGTGAAATAGTATTTAGGATCTGAAATGTGTGTCTGAACCTCTGCTTATTTTATCTAAGTGTTTTTGTTTGCTTGAATCTTGTCAGACTGCCTGCCTTTTTGTATTGCACTTCTTGTACATATTAGAATAAGAAATTGTTGATGTATCCCATTGCATTGGTTTTTGCTTAATGGAATAAAGATTTTTTATTTTTTTATTCTTTTTTAGCGAATTTCCCATATAGGGAATATTAGCGAATTTCCCATATAGGGAATAAGCTATTACCGTAGTACTCATGGTAAGACCTGGACGCGTGACCGATTTTTTTTTTTGTTTCGAGGTCCCTAGAGACCAAAAACACCATCCGTTCAAATTCATATATATATATATATTTATATATTTATATATTTATATCTAATATATAAAATTCTCGTGTCACAGTGTTTGTCTGCAAACTCCTCCGGAACGACTTCACCGATCGTTATGAAATTTGGTGTGTAAATTCTGTAGGTATGCGAATCGGAAGTAAACTATTTCCCGTTTCGAAATTCTTAAAAGGGCTCCGCCCCAGTGGCTCTGGAGTTTCCCATGTTAACCTTATGAGAAATGGAATTAATGAATCTTAACAGCTGTTTCAATTAAACAAGTTGGTTCTGTTCTATGATGTTCAATAGCATTAAAGTTACAAGGATTACCAACAGGGTGCAGCACTATTATTTCTTTTACATTTATGACAACAGCTAATTTGCAACCAAAAGGTGAGTGAGCGTAGCGAACGAACTTCAACCTGAAGGCAAGTGAGCGCAGTGAACGAGCTCCAACCTGAAGGCAAGTGAGCGCAGCGAACGAGCTCCAACCTAAAGGTGAGTGAGCGTAGCGAACGAGCTCCAACCCAAAGGTGAGTGAGCGTAGCGAACGAACTTCAACCAGGACGTGATTGAGCGATGCGAACGAGATCATCTTGAAAATTAAACGTAACGGTACTTTCTTTCCATCGGTCTGTCTTAGGGGAAACCTATAACTTAGGCGATACGAAGTTCGCCGGGTCAGCTAGTATTTATATAATAAAGAATAATAAAGAATAAATATTTATATAATAATTAATAAAGAATAAAAAAGAAGAAAACAAAATGATTGTTTTTGAAAACAAAATTTTAAGAATGATATATGGACCAATACAAGAAAATGGAGAATGGAGAAAAAGACATAATAGGGAGATAAGGAATATGTACAATGATTATGATGTAGTAGCACACGTGAAAGCAAGGAGAATAAGATGGGCAGGACACGCACTACGGAGAGAACGAGGTTCACTACTAAAAGAAGCAAGTATAGGAAAGCCAGAAGGGAAACGACCATTAGGAAGGCCCAAGAAGAGATGGTGGGATAGTGTTTCCAAGGACGTCAGAGAAGTGGGGGCAGAAGTGGAAGAGGCAGAAGATCGAGAGAGATGGAGAGCAGTTGTTGGTGCGGCCAAATCCCGCCTTGGGCATAAATGGCCATGGGAGTAAGAGTAAGAGTAAGTATATATATATATATATGTGTCCGTTAGCACTATAACTCGAGCAAAAATGATCCGATTTTGATGAAATTCGGTACAAACGTGTAAACCTACGTTTATTCGAACGAGTTCGCGATCCAGCATGATCGGACCATGGGAACGGGGGTTTACGGGGGGTTTTATGGGGAAAAAATAGGTTTTTCGCATTTTTGACCCAAAAAACATAAAATTTAGCAATTTCTTTCCAAACCATTTTGTAGAGCTTAAAAAAACAAATAATTTAGTATATTGAAGCGTTATTATGCGCCTAATGGTTACGGAGAAAATTCCAAAAAATTGTAAATTTAAAATTCCCATGTTATTCTTATGGAGAATAAGTAAACTGTTGTAGTTTGCTTGTTTATGAACATATTTTGATCAAATTTGAAAAATGTTTTTATTTCTTACTAACTATTAACATAAAAAAAAACAGTTTTACCTCCCTGAGGCAGCAAACCTAAGTACTTGTTAAACTAATTCTATTTAAATCGGGAATAAATGTTATATTTTTAAGTAGACATTTCAGTGTAAATCAAATGGAAATTCGCTTAGTCTGCAGGTTTGCTGCGGCGGGGGTATTTTATTTTTAGGCCTAAATAAAAAGTACCAGACTGGCAGGATTGGTTGGAAAACATTTAGGCTAACACTATTATTTTGATAGTCAAAAATAAATTACACAGACAACAAATTAAAAAAGAATTAATTTTGTTTGAGTTAAGCCTCCGAATCACTGATTGTAAACACCAGTACCGGTACACAAAAAAATCATTCTATCACATCATCCTCAACTTATTAGAAAGCTCCAACATTTATAAAATGTTGAGACTTAATACAATCTTTTCCCCTGAATGAAATCATTATTTATCCCAGAGCTTTGATGCACCCCAACACTGTAATATAAAATAGCCCTTCTCTTGCATAGCTAGTGAGGATAGATTTTAACATGAACAATAGAACCAACCTTGACTGGACTGTCCTCGCCTTCCGAAACAGACTCTGGTTCAGATTCCGAATGCTCAGATAACGATTCATTGTCAGAACTTTCTTCACAGTCATCTGAAATCATAAGGAAAACAAATAGGTTAATCGTAACTATGATGCAGTTTTAATGCTACGATATAGGTACCTACACAAGATAAATAGGTGCAATGTTTATTGTACGAGTTGCTCTATTTAACAGCTTATTGTATGAGGTGAACCAGAGGCGAATATTAACGAACTAGAATTAGAATAACGCATCCTGTCTTCACAACACCCGACTCCCGACTACAACTGAAAACTGAACTGATCAACCGACAACGATAACTGAACACCGCAACACCGACCGGCGGACAACGGTTTTTAGCGGCAACGAGTTGGCAATCGTTATTAAAATAACAAGTTGCCGCAACACGTTATTGGGCAGCTGCGTTATCGTTACAACCGTTGCGGGAAAACAACGATAATTCCCATCTCTAGTAGCTTAGGGTGATTGTAGAATTCCAGCAGTCTTCAGAAGTCTTACACTGATGTTTAATTATCTTAATTCAGCTATTGGAGTTAACTTAATTACTATGATATTTTTTATGTACCTTACACATTGTGAGTTAGCAATAAATTAGGCTATCTACCTGGTTTAAATTCATCCTCCGTGGCATCTCCCTCACTGTCAATTTCAATCAGTCTTCTCCGTTTCTCTGGAGGTGTTACTGCTTCTTCTTCACTTTCAGATTTAAAAACAATCTCTTTTTTAGGTTTGGACTCTGAAATTAATTATTCAAAAATTAAATCAATAGTTTAGACACAGCATTGGTTTTAGATTTTAGGCCTATACAATATATAGGTAGTCTTTTGGTAGTTGGTACTTCTAAGCTGAAATCATCAAACTTTAGTAACTTATAGGTTTTAAGGGTAAAGTCCACAGGTTGAAAGTTTTCAATTTCAAGATTAACAAAAACAATCTAAAAGTATTAACTTTGGTTAACAAACTCATTCAGAGGGGTCATGGTACCTAAGTTGGTTTAAACATAAAATAATAACTTAGCATCTCTCATTGTTTCTCATCTTTAAGGATTTACATTTCTAAGGTTTCATCATTGACTATTGGATACCGTACAGAAGAAGACATCCCAGCTATATGGATCAGCTGTCGCCAATTTTTACTAAAAATGAACGTAGTTGTGTGAGCTAGTCACAGAATGCGCTAGAGTCTAAAATTCTATTTTACACCTTATTTTTTGTTGCTGACCAAATTTTAGGTTGATGGGTCATAACAGTTGCTATAGCCCACCATAAGTCATTCCCTAAGTTTGACTCGGTAAAAAGGTTTGTGTAGCCTACTCGCCAAAATTTAGTAATTTAGATCAGCGCAATCTGTAGGTGGCTCAAATCAACTACGACAATTTTGATGAAAATCCTGGCTACAAATTTAACATGGGGATGGAATGTCTAAGTAGTCAAAGGTTTCATCTTAAGTTATCTAGAGATGGATAGTTATCTGCATTGACAGACCTAAGCTTGATTGTCAGGTAACTTAACTTAAGCCTATGTTTTGCGTTTCATGCTGCTGACAAGATAAGTTATTGTAGGTAACACTGAATGTGTTTAATGACCAATGAGAAAACTGAATCTGATGTCTTCAAATAAATATATGGGCTAGTGAATGAAAAGATCGGGGAGCGAGCTGGTGTAGTGGTTAGAACACGGGACATCGGTCCCTGGGGTCCCAGGTTCAAATCCCGCCAAATCACCAATGGATTTTTGTTAAGTTATAATGCCGCAACCCCTAGGTCTAGCCTGAAGTTATGTGAAAAACAATCCCAGGCTAGTGCCTAGCGTCTTAGGAAAAAATACTATTAGTATTAAAGGATTAGACCAAAAATGTTCCCTTTGAAATTAGGAGATATTCCGATAAATTAAAAGGGTAACTTACACCTTTTACGAGATCAATTAGGCCTAGTTAATCATATCGGTAAGTTACTTGGCTTAAGTTACCTGATTTCTGCTTTTTAGCCGATCTATTAACAGGTGTTTTAGAGGAGCTTCCATTCTTTTTCCCATTTATAGATGAATTTGGTGTAGTCTTATTTTCTTTTTCGTTCTCTTCAAATTTTCGTTTACTTGCAGGAGTTTTCGGAGTTTCAGTGGGTTTTGTGCTAGGGCTGCTTTTTGACGCTGATCCAGGTGGCTTCGAAAAATAGTTGAACAGAGTATTTTTGGACATTGTAGGGTTTTGAAAACTGGCTTTATAACATGTAATGTTAGACTTAGATCTTGTAAAGAATGAGTTAGCCTACTCAAATAAATATCAAGTGGTCTGGTAATACATAACCTTAATGTCTGCAGTTGATAGGCACTAGGTCTATTAAAAGAATGTTGAACTAAGTTACTAATAGAATAGTATAGAATTAATAGAAAAAATTACAACATTACCGGTATCGTATGACAAACTGTAATTTAAAATAGACGAATATCAAAATACCAATTTTATATCACTTCACTTTGTTTCCTAATTTGAGTTCGACTCCACCTATTGAGTACTCATGAGTACAAAGTAATCATCAAAAGTAACTGATACTCGAGAGTACCAGTACCGGTAGTAATCAGTATTTCGATGTACTCATTTAGCCCATCTCTATCCACCACCACCTGGTCCTGGTAGTCTAGTCTGCAGTCTGCTCTGCTGCTGCTCTGGCTCCTTTAGAAAAAAATACGAATCTGGCGGGAAATTGGAGATACTTATTTCCGTAGAGTAAAAAATCTTTAATCATTTGGTAGTTCGGTGGATATTGTGCTTGCCTTTTACCCCCAGTAGCATAGATTAATTCCATATTCTCTCAATGATTATTAATATTGCTACGCGTAACCATGTATTAATCTATGTTTGCATATTCTATATTATGAATGATCACACGAAAGATTTCGTCGTTCAAAGGCTGTTCTTAGTGCCCTTGACGGGTGGGTTCCATAATATCGACAACCGTAGAAATTGATCGAAACTGAATTATTCCCAGTTTGTCGACACTGGAATATTCCCACTTAACCGACATCCCAAATAACCGACGTCGCAAATGATCGACACCACAAATTGTCGACATCCCATATTGTCGACAATGAAATAGTTTCACTATGTCGACACTGAAATAGTCCCAGTATATCGACAAGCTCCCGTTCTTTGGAGCTACTCTTGAAAAGGAGTTGTTCTAATTCATCGTTCAGTTCCTCAACTCAAGAGTCGCAATATTTGATTCCGGGCGTATTCCGAATTCCGACGGACATCTTCAAGCTGACCATTTAAGTTATTTATTGACTAAAAACTTTTAAGTATATTGTAAATATTTATCTTTTTTATTTCTTTCCTTGTTTACAATAAAATAGATGACTCGAGTGTTACAAACAATAGTTTTTAAGGAATAATGTGAAATAAGTTAATTTTTATAGGGTAAATAACTTAATCAACATGATAACTTAATAACATTAGTCCTACCATACACTAACTTAGGTAAGTCACCAACAAGAACCTACAGCTTATTCGTAGGCTAATTCTGGATCATCAAGCAACATTGTAGCAAATGTTTGGATAGGCACTATCCCTAGGCTATTAGGATTGTCTCTTTTTCCCACTGACCCAGTGTCAACTTTAAGAATTTGTTTAGGTTATGTAAAAATATTTGGCTGCACTTTAGTTTATGTCCTACATTCATTCAAATGAAATATATTAATACATAGACTATTTAATATTTTCAATATTTTATTCCGTTAGTTAGGTTAGGTTTTACCCTAACATTAACCAAAATTGATATAGGCCTAAGTTTATTGAATGAAATAATCAATATGACTGGGACAGGTGGCGTTGTCCTGTAATCCAGAGAGCTACTAGGAGGTCACGAATTGTGGATATTTATAGGCTTGCACTGTGGATGCGATACTCCCTGGTGTGGATTAACGTCCGCACGAGTGAGTACTACGACTATCCGCAGTACTATCCTGATAATTAGACCAATTCGTATATACCAAGGCAATAATGTGGTTCGGATTCCACTATAAACTGTAGGTCCCTTAGTTGCCATTAGCTGTATGGGCTATTAATTAACAGCTGTGTCTAAGGAATGTCAGCCTTAGTCACTAACGAGACTACAAGATCGCGCCACTCATCCTGATCCTACACTCATTTCCATTCATACTTGGCTTAAAATACTTACGGTACCTACTTTGTATGGTCGCCAAGTAATAAGAAAGAAAGTTTAAAGAAATATATTCATTGGAATGAGTGTAGGACGTAAAATTATGTGCTGTCAAATATTCTAGAGCTGTTTGTATTCATGGTGTAAGACTAGACTTGGATTATAGAACTTAATTCATTGCTCATGACATCAATGTTAATTTTATAGATGATCCTGCAGCAAAGGCTGTAATTTGACCTGAACCCAAATTGGTCTCTATTTTAAATATTGTCTTGAACCAATAAGTTAAGAGGACTAACCTTTCTGGACGACATTGCCATCGACATCACTGCAGATGAGAGAGAAAGAGAGACCAGAGTTGTGGACCCTGGAGGCAATTACCATACTGCCGATAATGTTACTTGGTCTAACCATAACTTAAGTGAGGTGAGTCAACATTCTTTCCCCTTTGTGATAGGTTCTAGGCTATGTTTGTTAACTAAGTTATTCAAAGTTCAAATCGGTACTTTGGTAAGTATTATCCGGAGGCTACAGATAGGCTATACAGCGCTTTGCGGCGGTTATGTTAGGTTGGGTTATCATAAATGAAAGGAACATTTTTATGTCCTAGGCCTACTGTCCATATTTGGGTGGGTTCCATTTTATCGACAACCATAGAAACTGATCCAAACTGAATCATTTGCATTTAGTGTTGAACAGAGTTTGAACAACTAATTATTTATATGTTTTATGTTAACTTTAGAGAAAATATAATGTGTAACACAAGTGCAAACTGCCTTTGCTGCACTCGAGAAACTTTCCACACTCGCCTACGGCTTGTGCGTAAACATTTCTCTTATGTGTAGCAAAGTCCCACTTCGCCCACTAAGTTACCTACACAAATAAACTATTATTAATAGTTTTTTGTGGAACATAAGGATAATTAATTAATCTTTATGCAAATTTATAGTTTTTTATAAAAATTTAAAACTAGGCCCCTACTTAAAATGTATTTGGATACATCTCGAAACATGTTGTTTGGAAATGTCTTAATTAGGCTAGAGCTTGCATTTTTGCAAATTGGGAAATAACAAATAATTAATGTTTAACACGTTCGCTACCGAGCGAGGCACATATGCGTTGGTCCGGTCACTCCTACAGACCAAAAGGAATGATCATGATGTTGCTTACAGACCAAGTGATATAGGAATAACATTGCCAACAGACCAAAAGAGAAATATCGTTTAAATGGACGAATTGACTTCATATTAACCTTAAGTGAATTAGTAAGCAATAAATATTGTTTTTATTTATCGTTTTGAGCAAATTTTAAAAACGCTGCATGTATGCGTCGGTCAGTCTATTTAATGAAATCTATATAATTAATACGCTACATGAAACTTTGTCGGTTGAACTCCTCCGCCATTTCTTAACTGATTTTATCCATTGATGTCTCATTGGAAAGAGCGTGTCGCGTATATTTGCAAACTGGCCTTACATTTTTGAAAAAGTCCCTTGGGCTCTGCCCCAGGGGCTTTGAAAGTTCCCATGTTATTCTTATGAAGAACATAATTGTTTACATTTTGATCATCTGTATAATTTAATTGCTGTTATTTATTTATTTACTATTTGAGTTTGTGTAAACATAACCCCCAAGATGGATCATGTTAGTATGGTTCTATCTTAAATTTGTGTATTTATCGTTGTTTTGTGTCGCTATGACGGATCGTGTTAGCACGATTGTAACTTAAATTTGTGCATTTATCGTTGTTCGTTGTTTTGTGTAGCTATAATTTGTTTATTTGTTTTTTCTTTTAAATGCCTTCGACGCGACGACAACGAAACATAGACAGGAGGCGTAATCGTGATAACGACCGCAGCTACTTATATCCAATTCCAATCCACAGTGGTGCGTAATAGGCTTAAATCATCACAGTCAGCACCTGACCTTGGACAATCTCTACTATTAGGCTACAAATGGGCCCTAACACTATCCCAAAACGACTTTTCGTTCCCAATTGGCCCTCTATCAATGACCTGTGTTGCCTGTACAGCGAGGCATTTTGAGAAGGAGAAAACCGGCCGGAATGCTTTAGGTTTATCAATAACGAAGATAAACATGGTCTGAGTTACACACCGGTAATCTTTGAGTTGACTCTTTTAAACTCATTGTAAATATGACTGTTATTCGTTTTGAAATAACTCCTGTAATACATTGCAATTGCTCGAATTCGAGCAACATGTACACTAGTCTAGATAAAAAGATTACCTACATTTTCGTTTCAATAGACCAGGCGACACACGTTTAAGCGTCATTGTTTTTAAATTGTTGTAAATTTGGTTGTTTCAAGCTTTTACACAAACAAATAAAGAAACTCCACCACTCGCCAAAACTGCAAAGGTTATAACGTTTACATCTGTTCTGATATGTCGCGGAATGCACAATGTAAACAACAATGTTGCCAACTGTTGTGTGACGTAACCAATCGTCATATCCACAGACCAAGCGATGCACATTTGCGGCAGATATCCCTCTAGACCGATACGATAAAATCAGGGCTTTAAAATAGACCGTTGCTAAGAAATACGCTGATTAATAACATTGAACACCGACGCAAGTGTGCGTCGTTAGTCTATTTCAATGTGATCAGCTGACGCAAATATGCGTCGGTGGTCTCGTGAGAAACGAGTCTACGCACAATTGCGTCGCTGGTCTATGCGAACGTAAATTCCATATAATTGTGGTAGCGAACAAGTTAAACCAATTTATTTTGTCTAAACCAAATTATTGTTACAAATTCTAATATTTGTACTAACTTGACCCAGATTTGCTCAAACATTTTCCTATTAGCTGTACCTATTTTAATATCGCAAATAGGCTATAGAAAGGAGTGTACACACTTATTATTATTTTTTATTATTTTAGTATTATTTTTTGGACTAAAATTATTTGTATAGGCCTAACACTATTTTTTGCAATATTTCTGTACAGAACTGAAGCCTACCAGTAAAATGGGGGCGTTGTAATTAATATCCTCCGACATTGGAGAATACAGGGGAGAGGTGTCAGAGGAAGAGGAGATGGAGGATGGGGCGAAGTAAAGACTAAGATTGAAGAGAACTAACTAATGGTAAGTTTTGCCATTTACTTATAAATCCAGGGCCGTGTCCATTGCCCCCAAGCCTATGTCGCATAACCCTCCTGAATTACTAGTATTTAACCAGCATTTTAACTCGAGAGGCGCTCAAAAATTTGCTTTTGTTTTTTAGGAAATGTAGGCTATATTTTTTGACACCATAATTATAATTGTTCTGAATATGTCATAGTTTTTACATTTGGTAAGTACTGAAACAACAATAATTTTAAGACAAATGGAAAAGCCCCTGTCAACAGAAGCAGTTGAAACAAGTATAAAAATTCTCATACATCAATAAGGTATTTAGTACAAGCGTGGTTCAATAAGACCTTAGAAGAATATAGTATAACACAATTTTTGTGATAAATTTGATTTATTTTGCTATAATCTCCTTTTATTTAGCTCTATACACTTATCTTAAAGTTTCTCCAACCTCGTTCAAATTATGTCCAAATAAATAGTACCCTACAAACTTGAAAAGCCTTCAAAATACTCTTCTGTTTCAGTGATGACCAGCTCCATGGCAACTAAAAATGTCTGCACGTAGGCCTTGAAGCGCCCCTATCCCCACCACCTTCCGCCAGTCACTCGCCCGACAGGGCAGCAAAGAAAACTGTCAGATAATTTTGCCACACTCTGTACATTATATTTTGTCCTATACAAAATGGGTTTAATATGGGTCGGCACTTATATATTGATCCAAACGATTACTGCAATTGTGGCAAAATTAAACGATATTGTCCTCGGTAATGACCAAATCGTGATTGCAGGGTCATCATCTTCATCTCCCAAGGTCGCCAGTGGTTAAAATTGTGGGCATCCTCGGAGCAATCGTGAACATCTTTCGCGGTTGCGAGGCCTGATTATCGTCACCCGCGATCGCTGGTAGTCGTAAATTTCGATCACGCAATCTTTGCAGACGCTTTCGGCTATCATGAGAATACAAGAAAAACTTGGCTTATTGTACCCCTAATTCTAACAGATTGTGGGAAAATTAATTTTCCAAGAGAAAAAGCATTCTTTTGAGGCCCCAAGTGAGTCCCCTTCCCAGGCCGAAGCCCTTGGCAATGGCAGTGTCCACTGTTAGGGGAATACGGCCCTGATTTTGGAGGCCTATGTTGGTGTGGGGCCTAGTGCAAACCGTCCCCCCCCCCCTCAGTACGCCACTGAGTAGCCTACATTAAATAATGATAGAAGTATGCATAAAAAGACTCTTTGTTCAGAATACTGTTTTTAATATTAATTTTTGTTCTGTTATATCCAGGCCTGATGACAGGGTGGATGGCGATGGAGGCATGGAGGTTGGGGGAGAGGAGGCTGAAGAAGTGGAGACAAATCAGTTTGGATCCATTATGTTGATTAGTTTAACATTTATTTTGAACATCAGTATTTACATTTTTTCTCATTTAGATTATTAAATTAAGATAATTTTATTGTTTTTATGAAGATGTTTTCTTACATTTTTAATATTTGTTTGTACTTCTGCCTGGTAAAAAAAATTCTGTTTATTATGTTTGTTAAAATGATTACTTTCACTAACTGACCTTGTCTTGGGTAACAAAAGATATATCTTGATATTTAACTAGCAGGGTGCCTGTTCTATGGGCGGGGATTGTATAAGTCAGTAGAAACCTTCTTATATTTCGATACTTGGTAAATTAAATCATTTCCAACTTTATATAGTATAGATCGCTATTCCTGTATTGATGTACTGAAATGAATAAAATTATATAAGAAATGAAATGTTGTTTATTTATATATGTTGATGACACACTATTAAAAAGGCATAACAATATTCTAAAGTTTATAACAGCTAATGTTTGTGTTTTTATTAATGATTTATTGTGACTTTTGAGTGATTGAAGGATTTGTGATTTGGTTTTAAGGAGATTGATGTACCTAATTTTTTTAAATCTATATATCTATACTTATTTAATACGCAAGCAGATTTTTTGTGACAATTACTCCTCCGAAACTACTGAACTGATTGCCATGTCTTTGGTGTCATTGGAAAGAGCGTATCATGAAGTTGTGCAGGAAACTTTTTTAGGGAAATAATTAGAGAGTGAGGCCCTGGGGCCCTTTAAAGTTTTGTATTTCTCCATAAGATTAACATGGGAAACAAAGATTGTTATGAAACTCCAGCTGTTGTCAGAAATGCTGTTCTGCTATTTATTTAATTTAATTTGTTTACAAGGAGAATTGTTTCTTAGTGCCATGTGGTCAATAAGTTATACTTTTGCATATATTTTAAATGATATACACTATATAAAATTATGGTACTGTAATACAATAAGAGATATTCACTTAAATAATCAATAAGTACGATTGAGCCTTTGCCTATATGTTGCCTGGTAAGTGTGTTGTATTTTCCAGTATATTATAGTATCTTAAAGTAAAACCAAATTATTCTTTTCTGCATTCTTACCCCGTAGCGAAGCACGGGCAGAGCAACTAGTATTTATTAAATACGCAAGCAGGTTTTTTGTGACAATTACTTCTCCGAAATTACTGAACCGATTGACATGTTTTTGGTGTCATTGGAAAGAGCATAACGTGAAGTTGTGCAAGAAACTTTCTTTTTAGGGAAATAATTAGAGAGTGAGGACCTGGGGCCCTTTAAAGTTTCGTATTTCTCCATAAGACTAACATGGGAAACAAACATTGTTATGAAACTCCAAATGTTGTCAGAAATTTAAAGTGAGAAGAAGAACATATGTTAATTGTAAAATTGTGACAGAGAGGTTATGCAGAAAATCAGGTATAGTTCGGCCGCTTAGAAAACGACCTGCGCGCTAATGCTAAACCAATGCTGGAGGAGGTCGTTTTCTAAGCGGCCGACCTATAGTTAATGGTTATTTGGTGCTATTAAAATAAAGACTGAAATTTGTAAATGTACTGGCGACAATGGGTGATACCACGCAAACTACATTATCATTGACAAAGACCAACATGGAGAACCTATTGCGACTGTAAGTGGGAAACATTTCTACAACACACTAAAAGTCCATGGTGGAAGGAAAAAACATAGGTGTGCTATTCCCGTCATATTCTGACGTCACTTGTATTGCAAACACCTGATTGTAAAGATCAAATCTGTAACCGTTTCTGTTCTAATATCGGTGATAACAGTTACAGTAATTCCTTTTACCTACGACCTTTTTTAAAGTAGCCGTTTCAGTAAAGTCCTTTAATACGCCAACAGCTGATCTTGTGTCTTTGTTTTTGTGTCAAATACTGCGTGGATAAAGATTACATAAAAATTTTTAGAGCCAGTGGGGGGATTCCTTAGAGAGTTATTTTAACGCCATATAGTTGTTAGCACTCACCGATATATGGTCTTTATCACCATGCAAAATTTGAAAATGATTACTTCAGCCGTCTTGGAGGAGATTGCGTATTACGAAATGCATAAGAGTCGACGTATAAGAGCTTCGCTCAATGAGTTATACGATTTTAGATTTTTTTAACATAGGGTAGGTAAGGTGTTTACATATTTCCAGCACAAAGAACCATTTTGAACAATATTTTTGAAGATTTTCAGTGTTTGTTCTTGTGTCTGATTAACATGGATATGGATGTCACTGAAATAGCCACCCTGGAAAATATACCACACAAACTGACCTTGTGAAAATAGGGTTAGGAAAGTAAAAAACTGTCATTGTTAGTGTCAGCCCAGTTTTCTGGCAAGTCAAACTAGCCTATAACTGAATAAGTTACACACACTTACCATGGTTGGAATATGCAGGCAACCTTGTGTTTGCATTGAACAGTATGACAGAACAAAAACCAATAACTTTGTGGTAATGCAAACATCATCTATACAGTAATGAGAATTAAGAATCAAAGATTCATAATTATAATTAATAATTCAGTAATAGAGTAAACAAACAAACAATAAATCTTCATAAATACAATTAGAGTTTTGTCTGCAAATTGCTCAGAATTATATATTAAAAAGTTTTTTATTAGCTCGCTTGTTTCTTGTCTGGTACAAATTTTGGGGGTAGCGGATTTCTACCCCCGGATATTTACCCCCATGAAAAAACGCCTACGTCATTTTGACGTCACGAGGGGCGGGGCCCATACACGGTCGAGAAACAGCCCGTGACTGGAAATTTACCCCCAATATTAAACAATCAACATGTAATTGTTTGATTATAAAGTGATTTGCCATGGCACGGAAATCTACCCCCAGAAATCCACCCTTGGACATTTACCCCCGGATATCTACCCCCAGACATTTACCCCCAGATATCTACCCCCGGATATCTACCGCCGGAAATCTACCCCCAGTGGTTAAAAATGACACCTAAATCAGTTACAGCTTAATGAATCGGGAAGATAGATGACATTAAACAAGACAACGACATATCACATGCTTAATAGAGGGTAATTATTAAACGAAGAGCCATTGATTATTTTTATAAACCAATTACTAAAATCAACTACAACAATGAATATTGGCCGATACGTAGTGTAGCACGGGGGTAGAATTCCGGGGTCGGACTTTTATGATTTGACCACTGGGGGTACATTTCTTGGGGTAGATTTCTGGGGGTAGATGTCCGGGGGTAGATGTCTGGGGGTAAATGTCTGGGGGTAGATGTCCGGGGGTAGATGTCCGGGGGTAGATGTCTGGGGGTAGATGTCCGGGGGTAGATGTCTGGGTGTAGATTTCCGGGGGTAAAGTTCCGGTGTCAGGTTTATTAGCATTTTGATTAATTTCAACTGTTAAGTAAACCGTGAAATGCGAGTTGATTGAATAAATAATAATTTATCCATCCTAAAAGTTCGCGGCCGGAAATTTACCCCCATACATGTGACGTCAAAGTGACGTAGGCGTTTTTTCATGGGGGTAAATATCCGGGGGTAGAAATCCGGCGACCCAAATTTTGCAATCAATTTTATACTAAGTTCCCGATGAGCTAGAGCCTTGAAATTTGAAACATAGCTCCCAAATGGATGACAATGCAATATTATATCATTTAATTTTCACATTTCCCTTGGCTACGCCCCATGGCTTTCCAAATTTTCCATGTTTACATTTTGAAAGAATGTAAATATATCAATTAATTTAAGTCATCTGTAAATTTTTTTTATACTAAATAATATAATTAACAATTTTGATATGGAAAAATAATAAAACATTTGCTATTTAAATTAATAAATAACTGGTACTCCAGCCCCATCTTCAAACTCTCTAAAAGGGTCCTCCACTTCTTCCTTGTCCTCCTTAATAGCGTGAGTATTTCAATTAGTTACCTTAGCATTTAGTCGGGTCTTTTAAACTCATCGAAAATTATGACTGTTATTACTGTAGTTTTAAAATAACTCCTGCATAATACCGGTACTTGACAATTGCTCGATTTCGAGCAACAGGTACACTAGTTCCTGTTGAAATTACTGTTCAAAAGTTAATGAAACTTTTGAGATTTTACCTATTAAATAGGCCTACCACTATCATCGCTTACCTATGATAAAGGTTGTTGACAAGCTAATGGGAGAAAGTATGTGTCAGATTGCCGATACCGTTTATTTTGCATTTATGAAAACAGCTAATTTGAACTAAGCAGCAAAAAAAAAAACTGTGATACGCAATGAGAAATGTCAAAGTAGGATTGTGTTATCTTTAC